TTGAAATTGTGCACGTTTGCTTTGTAAGTTTCCAGGGTGCAAACTATACCACCTGGAAGAATTTTTGAAAATTTGCAAAGTCAAACTTATCCGCGTTTAATTTGTTCATTCACAAGTAGCAAATTAGGACAGTTAGAAGTTTAAAACTGCTAAAAAACGATTACTCTTTTAGTGCCCAGGGTTTATTTTGATTTGGATTATTCAGTGCTTTTTGAGGATTTTTCGCAATTTGCACAAAATTCTGGAATTGAAATTGTGCACGTTTGCTTTGTAAGTTTCCAGGGTGCAAACTATACCACTTGAAAGATTGCATTTTTGTGAAAGGGTGCAAAAAATGTTTAAAAAGTTTATTAGGCGATTTTGGCGCATTTCCTACAATTTTCTTTAAACCATCAAGTCTAAATTGCGCTTTTTCTATGATATGATTTCTTATGATAAAATAGGCTTCCGTTAAACGCATAAAAGCGGTTTTTATTTGGCAATAAGCTGAATTCTAAAAAAAAAACGTCCACAAACCTGCAGTAGGTATTTATTATGGTCGTTTGCTTTATAAATTCACCGGTTGGCAACCAGAAGAAATTGACACCCGAAAATGTGCACTTAACAAGTCTTCCCTTATTAGGCGCACAAAATTTGAATTTGTTCCGGGGTTTGCTGGGAAACTGTTTTTTAACTTTCCGTTGAACCTTCAAACCGATGAAAAATGGGCGTTTGCTTATAAACAATCACAGGTGGCAAACAGAGACAATATTATGAAAGTTCGGCAATCGCTGAGCTTAAAACCGTTGAACTGATATGTATTTGAGCTCACAAATTAGTTTCCTAGGACCATCTGAAACTCGTGAAAGTTTGACGCTCTGAGACGCTAAACTTTGAGAAACTTTGTTTGGACGAGGAAACGTGGCTCTGTTCGGTCCATTCAGTAGTTTAGATGAGCGTCATGCCTTCGGGCTGTCGGTCAAAGCGAGAAGTTTGCTTTATGTGAGAAAACTTGAAAAGCGGGCGCAGTCGGTAGGAATTGCCGCAGTTTGCCACAGCTCAGAATCCTTCGCTGTTTCATATGATTTCCACTCAATTTGACTTCCATTTCCTGCCAGTTTAAGGGCCAACCAGTTGCAATTTGTCCGCTAAAGCCCCATGACATCCAGCTACCGACAATGCCTATTGATCGGCCGGTTCTTCCGCTATAAATCATCGAAAACGCAATTTCGTCCGCTCTAACTCCCGGCTTCCACTTTAATTATTCGGCATAAAGCCGAAAGGAGTCGACGTGCTGCACTCACTCTAATAGCTTTCCAGTTTTTCACCATAATTGGATCCATTTTTGCGGCGAATTGTTCGTCGAAAACAAATCCTGGACAGCAACAGCTTTCCAACGACTCCCACGAAATGTGCCATATTGATTCGCGTGGATGGTAAACTGGAGGAGACCAACACGGCTAACCAAGGAAAAATACATTTTCATGGCCCTTTGAATGAACGGATATTGAACCTTTCAAAGGCCCTGCGTCAAATTATGAGCACGTGATAATAAAGGGCGGATCATTTGCACTAAGGTCGCTTCTGCATAGTGGGGAAAAGGTCAAGAAATGGGGTTTTAATGGAAAGCGCCAATAATAAAATTTATGTACTTTGCGCTTTGCGAGTTTGAGTGGGTTCTGAATGGAAAATCCCATAGGGATGCAAGAACCTGCTCTGAAGGATGAAGGGACACTGCGGTTTGGATTCCTGGAAAGCTGGCGCAGTTAGTAGGATGAATTTGAGTTTGTGCAAATCATGCATTCAACAAGTTTCCTTGATTTAGGTTTAAGGCAATGTTGAGAAGCCATCTGGATTGGGAAACTCCTAAAAGCGGCAACACCCGCACAAAAAAGTGCCCAGCTGGGACCGCAAACCCTTAAACTTACTTTACAAATCCAGGAAAGCGAAACCTCTACACAATAAACGGCGAAGCTAATCTACGCGCTACAATAATAAGCACTGATTTTTACACGAGATTTTACATAATCTACATTGGCACGCACATTTCCGGTTCGCGTTCACATTACCGCATCAATCTGGATCATTTGGAACGAATTGGGAAACGAAAAATCGCCCCCCTGGATCGGAATCGTGCCGCTTTTATTCCAACACTGAAGGAGATTTGCCCTTTGTGGCGCATATCGACCCGTATCCTAGTTTGCGCGCATTCACCGTGGACATATCAAATCGTGGGGTCCCACAGGACCTCTTCTGCACTATTAAAGGGTTGAAAATGCCCTCGAAGTGCATCAGGTCAAGTCCAGGATGCGGGGCTATTTTCATTAAAAAACCATATCAAGATCTACGGAGGTGCCGCATTTTCAGGCCCCTTCAGGTTCTTCGAGTGCGAAAGGTTCAGTGAGCTACAAACCTTCCACTCAGTTCTTTTACATACACCGACGGTGTCTTCATGTGTTTAAATTATGAAATAAATTTCGAATCTTTCGTCGCTGTGTAAAAAGTTTTGAAGTTTCTTTCCAGCTTCGAATTTGGAACAAAAATCAAACGATTTTCTATCAAAAAACGAACAGAATAAGCGAAAGTTTATAACAGATTATTTGGAATTCTCGTCACGTCCGTTCCTCTGAAGCCGGTAGAATTTGTAAAAAAATGTGTTTTTTTAGTTTTGATTGAATTTTTTTTGCTTTGCTTTCTACTCAAAAACGCTTTATTTTGTAGTTTCTCTTAAAAATATTGACGATCTGCAGGACTTTTACGCGAAAAGTGACAAATAAGACAAATTTATAGCTTTGTATAAATTTGAAAAAAACGTTTTTCAGTGTCGAATTCGAAACGGAAATAAATTCTAACCGACTTTTCCCGAAAACCATTAAGGTTTTCTCCAAAACCGATAACAAAACGAAAAGTTTTTAATCGAAAACGCAAAAAAGCATAATTTTCTGATGATTCTCTTATTTTCTGACAATAATGGGGTGTTTTCAGCCAAAAATTACAAAATTAATTTTGCTACAAAATAGTCCTCATACATCAGTTTGCAGCGAACTTTAGAAAACCCATTTCAGCTTCGTATTTGGAACAAAAACCAAATAATTTTATTCAGTTTGTCACCGAAAGTAATTAAGATTATATTGAAAAAACGACCAGAGAGCAAAAGTTTACAAAAAATTATTGGGAAAATTCGCCGCCCTCATCGCTCTGAGGATTTCTAAAGTTCCTTTAAATTCTCAGGTCATTCCAGTTTTTGCAAAGTTTCTATTAAGCAATTCTTTCTACGCGAAAATCGCATTATTTTTTAGTTTTACTTAAAATACTGGCAATATTCCGGTATTTTCTCTCAAAAGCAGGATGGTAATTAGCTTCTCTGGATACGGTTTGCTTGTTGTTGGAGCTTCCGGATCGATAAATCTTTTTCGGTGGTTCTTTTGGAGCAACAGGTCGAGGCCCCAAAGACAATGTATACAATTGACAAATTTTCCCAAATACACCCACACATAAAGTTTCCACAGGTAATAATTTTTAGCTGAAACAATTCCATTAGAGCTCCCGGTCTAAATTGTGCACATTTGCTCATAAATTCGCTTGTGGCAAACTAGCCCCGATTCAGTTCTGAAATTTGGAATATTCGTGCTAAAAGCTCGGAAATGTTATTTTGGATTGGTTGATTTAGTTATTTTAGCAGCAATATTGTCAAAAGTGTCG